GTTTTTCACACAACGCTACATGTGGCATTGGATCTGTAATCAGAACGCACATATATGCATGTGTGTGTGTGTGTGTACTATATATACAAACCGGCAGAGACGCCGAGTCCAATACTGACGCAATTGAAACAAACAAGAAATGAAATTTGGGTTATATATTGGCTAGAAAGATGTTTGCTATTTCTGCTAGTTTTCGTTGTACATTGCTGTGGCTTGGGCTGAGGCTGGAGCTTGGGCTGAGGCTGAGACTGAGGCTGGGCTAATCAACAACAAACTAAGAACTTTCTTGTGCTTTCAACATTTACACAACAAAAATAAAACTATGCCAGCAAAACGTGTCAAAAGAAAACTGACAAATATACCCTTACACACCTTGAAGTAGCTTAGTCATTAAATGCGTAACGCATTCTATGATATACACGTATATTTTTGAATAATATTGCAAGCTGTTGTTGATCTAAGGAACTCGTAACATATAGAGTAAATCTGTTATACGTGAGCTAGGCCATGATGAGAATAACTGTTTAAGAAGCTCTTGCTATTAGCTAAGAGACTTGCACAAAGAGTTTCATTCTTGCTGCGCTTGATTAATACACAAGTCAAATTTGTATTATAAATCTTCATTATGGTCAATACTATATATACACTATAGCGGGTCAGTCTATGATATATGCACTATGTAAATTACAAGGCTTGTTCGTAATGCACAGGTCCATTTGCCAATTTGCCATGGTTGAGCTGGCATAAAGAGCCAATAGGCCAGAAAGGGTCCATATAGCTGACTGACCTTGCAGTGTAGTCAGTAACCCAGTTAGGGCGAACTTTATGTGCTTTAAGCGTCGCTTTTCAATGCAAAAAAAAAAAACAAAAAGTGGAAAAAAGCTGAAAAAATCAATTTTCAGTCGCTTTCCCGCAACTCATAAATAAATATTTAACTTTATATGGCGCATGACAACAGGCAGGGAGGACTCTTCATTTCGCTCTGCCTTTTGGAGCATCAGCCTAAGCTATCATCATCATCAACATCATCATCATTATTATCGACCCAAACTGAGTCACGCCCGTTCTATGCTCTGCTGCCTCTTGTTTGCCCTTCATGACTTTGTAAAGTTATCATCCGGCGCACCGAAATGTTTAGGCTGAAATAACTGAGAGTTTTTTTGCGTGTGTTCATTTCAAGTTTTCGTCAATTGCCCAATAACCCAGCAGCGAAACGGGCAACAATGTATTGTAACACCTGCCTATGCTAATAAATTGGAAAAATATACAATTTTCTATAACTGGGATGTACTTGTGCAACACAGCAAAAACTGATTAGCAAAGCGCTCTCCATCTGCTGACTGGCTGATGCTGTTTAGCTGATCGATTGATTAACTAGTTGATTATAGCCTTCGACCGTCAGATCTGAATACTGAAGATGACCTTGACTTTGTTCACGTCAAGGGGCAAAAAGATAATGCTGGAGTCTTGGTTATAGATAACTTCAGTTTAGCCTGATATAATACCTGTTTTTAGCGATTTAGCCAATCAAGTTACAGAGTTTAGATGCACAAAAATATTACAAAATAATTGTATTTTGGACTGCAAGGCAATAAACTGTAAAAACCTGTTGATTGCTTTGTTCTCTATATGATTCATATGTTCACAGAGAGGAGATTAGAGATAAGAATATATATATATATATATATATCTGACTTTCAACCTTGCTTATCTTAAGCCTACAGGATCGTGGCATGATTGAGCTGATTTCGATATCATTTACAGTTCGATTATTGGCGTCATCCTCTCTAGACTGAAGTGGCAGCTCTTATAGTTCTAGCCACTTGCTGTGCGTGTCCCATTTCGGCCCAGCGACGACCAGTCGGATGACGCTGGCTAGCCAGACGATGACTAATGCCCCCAGCTCTCTTAAGCAGCTCTGTGATAGTGGATGATATTTTTGTACACGCTTCAGTATGATTGTGTGTGTGTCTTGCTGCTGTTAAGCTTTACATGACAAATACACACACACACACACACACACATTAGGAACAAGGCAGAGTGTGACAACAGAGCATTAGCAGGCAATGAGAAAGAGCGTCATCATTTTTTTTCTTTATGCAACTCAATTTCGAGCAACCGTCAATTGGTGTGCGTGTGTGTGAGTGCGTGTTAACTTCTTTTCTCATGCATGCAACTGCTGCTTCAATTAATTGCACATAGCAAGTTAAAGGGTCGGCAAAGCCACTCGTCGTACTGCTGCATGTCATTTGGGCTTTGGCCATAACCTGTGATTGTAAGTGTGACTGTGACTGTGACTGTGACAGCGAGTGCGACTGAGTCTCGCGACTGCAGCTGACATTGTGCCCTCTCGCTATGTCGCATTACATAAGAATTCAATTTCCTCAACAGATTCCGACAGCTAAGGATATCAGCCGAAGCTGCGTTCACCTAATGCACCGGATATGCCCTTGCCGAGGCTTTCAGTTTACAGTATCCACTTAGTTGCCCGCTGTGAACCTATTCACTTCAAATCTAGTTGTCAAGCTGGGGAATCGCTTTGCTTTCCCGGAAGCTGCGTCCTTGGACCCACTGAGCATAGCAATATTTATCTGTTGCAGGCAAAACTGAATTCCTCGTGAAATCAATGCGAAAATAAGAAACTACAAAGTAAAATGTCTGGTTTTTCTTTGATTTGCAGCTATGTTGATATTCTTGCCACTGGCTTTCCCAGAATTGAATTGACGTTAGAGAGGAAAAATAGTTGAATTTGGTTACTTAAAGTATTGGCATTTAACTTAAGTCTACGTCATGAGAGCGGCGTAGCAACTACAGCTGCCATTACACGTGGTGCTGTCAAGTACGTTTCTAATTTGTTTCAATTTGATGGCCAACATTAATTGATGTCTGTTGAGTGCCGTGTGCCTGTTGGGCTTTAGTTCTGGTTGTTTTCCTTTGTTGATTGCATGATGCACACTTTTGTTGTTATTGGTGTCGGTTGTCGGTTGTTGGTTGTTGGCTGCAAATCTGCCCGGCTGATTTTTTTCTTTATTCCTGTGTCGTTGAGGACCTGCAGCATATAGTCACGACCTACATTAAGCACACAGACTCACAGCTGCACGCTCTGGGTAGGTGCGGGCCGGGTTCGGGTTTGGACTGGGGCTCGGGTTGTTACACTGGATAAATGAGTGCAAACGCCAGCAGAATCCGTGAGTAAACTTATATAGCAACCGATACCAAGCCAACAGCGTGCCTCTGCCTATGTACGTGATGCTTATATATATATGAATATCTATCTCTCTCGCTCTGTCCTGCTCGGTGTTCTATTTTGTAGTTCTCTCTTTAGTCAACATGACGCCGCTTTTAACTTAATGGCAGGAAGAGCTCATGTCTCATATTTCCTAAATCTCCTCTTAAGCTTCTGCTGCCTGGATTTGGATGAGAGTCGAGTTGAGTCGAGCCGAGCCGCTTATTTATTCAAAATTAATATCTAAGCATGTAATTAGAATACGCATCAGCTTCCTTTACTTGCTTCGCCTTTTGGCTGAGCTTGAGGAACAGTTTGTTATACATACTATAAGTTGAGTAAATCGATAAATCTCAATGGCAAAAAGTGTTGCATGCACATAAATATTTTTACAACATGGGCTTTGTGCCCTGGGCGGTCTTTGCAGTCGTGGAATGTGAAGCTCAGAGTCCTTCCACTAAAGTTTACTGAAATATCTGTTGAACTAGTGCCTTGCATAAATATAGTTAAATTCGTGGGCAAAAATTAATCAAAGCATAGCCACAGTCCAACTAGTCAATTTTAATTAGGCAACTTGCTAAAACTCTCGCACAGCACATTCACAATTTGTGTTGCAGTTTATGGTTGCCACTCAACCAAAGTTGAACAAAAGTTTTAAGCAATTTGTTCAAAATTTGTCCTTGCACCTGCCAGTGACAGTTGCCAGTTGCCAGTTAGCAGTTATCCAAGGCTGCACGTGACCTTAACCGTAGCTGGAGCCCAAATACGTGTAGGTGCTGCAGCACGGGCTTGGCATTTTAATTTCAATAGCGAGGGGTGTTCATTAAGTAGAACATTGATGAGATAATTTTTTATTTAAATTTTCAAAATTTCCACATAAAGTTAACTATTTTTTACTCCTGATTATATTATAGATGCATTGAGAATGTTTTTTAAACTCAAGAAACTTTAAGAAATATTGTTAATATCAATGGAAGTTCAGCAGAGAGTAAATATAATGGATAATAATTACTTTTTGAGAGATCAATAAGTTTTAGATGCTGCAACAGACTCAAATACATTTCGGTTGAGTGGCAAAGTCTAGATTAAATTTGTTATGAGCCGATTGATTAAATCCCTAATGAATAGCACAAATGATAGGAATTTAATTAAATTCTGAAATTATTACAATTTCAATTAGATTCAATTGAGAATAAAATTTTATCTTCAGCATTTGCCACTCGTTTAATTGCTCAAGTTGCATGCTCAAGTTGCATGCTTTGCGTTGCTTAAGCGCCATGAAGAAAATCAAAATGAAATAAATATCTTACGTTCGTATGCCACAGAAAATCAATTCGTAACGGGCATACTGATGTATTTGGGTTTAATTGGTAGTCGGATTAATTTACTGATTCTAGCTTACAAGTGTTTCAAAGCGGATTACATGTCACTTTGTCTATTCCCATGGAATAGAATGGTTCGCCTTTGCTATCCCAATTGTTACCTCTATGCGGCATCAATGCCAAATATTTTTAGGAAACTGCTTAAAGTTATGCACATCAATGCGACTGCAGGATATGCAATTCAAGGGATTCATGTGTGTGCTCGACAAGCAGTTCCAGTTCACTGGTCTCCAAAGTGATTACAGCATTTTGAAAATAGGTTTCGATAAGAGTAAGAGAGGGAGAGAGTTAGAGGGGGAAACGATTTATTCTGATTGATATGGAATTTGTTGCCAAATTGTTGATGTGAATTAATGTAATTGATATCGTTGTGCTTGCGTCTTCTCTTGCAGCTGCCAATACTATGTGAAGAGCCACCCGTGGGTGCTGGCCTACCAGGGCGTCATCACGTTCTTTGTGCTGGCTAACTTTACGCTGGCCACATTTATGGATCCGGGCGTTATACCCAAAGGTATGTAGCGTGCTAAACGGTGCCCAGCGTCATCCGCACAGCCTAAATTTGACTGCATTCTAGCCTCGCCCGACGAAGACTGCGAGGAGGAGTTCCGTGCACCGCTCTACAAAAATGCCGAGATAAATGGCATTACCGTCAAAATGAAATGGTGCGTCACGTGCAAGTTCTATCGCCCGCCCCGCTGCTCCCACTGCTCAGTGTGCAATCACTGCATAGAGGTAAGTTTGAATTGCATTTGCTGCAGTTGACGTTGTTGCCGCATTTTATTACAAAACCAACTCAACTTCGCTTGCAGACGTTCGATCATCACTGTCCCTGGGTGAATAATTGCATTGGCAGGCGCAATTATAGGTTCTTCTTCTTCTTTCTGGTCTCCCTCTCAATCCATATGCTGAGCATCTTCTCGCTTTGCCTGTTCTACGTGCTCAAAATCATGCCCAACATCAAACAGACAGCGCCCATCGTCGCGTATCCTTTTTACAAATCATTACAATAATGTGACCTCAAATTGGAAATTGTTCCATAGTATAGAATTTAGAGTTTCGCTGAGTGATGCCTTTTAAAGTGTGTTCATTAAGTTGTCCGTGTGTAGAGTTATCCTTTCAGGGTATCAGCGTATCAGTGTGACTTCGATATTGAACTAAATTGTTAACTAAACGTTGCCTTGCAGCCCGGAACGAATCGATTTTCTTTTCAGCTTAAACATCTCTTGTCTGTGGTCAGATTGGTTTTGCTTAACTTAACTTAATAGTATGATACTGATGGGTCTTGTCACGGTATTGGCGATACCGATATTCGGGCTAACGGGCTTCCATATGGTGCTGGTGTCGCGGGGTCGCACCACCAACGAACAGGTGACAGGGAAGTTCAAGGGCGGCTACAATCCGTTCTCGCGCGGCTGTTGGCACAACTGCTGCTACACGCAGTTCGGGCCGCAGTATCCCAGGTAATGTAAGGCGACGTGTGGAACTGGCAAGTAAATAACTCCGCTTTGTATTTGAGCAGTCTTTTGAAGCCGAAGAAGTACGCATCGCGACGATCGCAGACGCAAAATCAAGCCATAAGCACTATATGCAACGATCGGACCAATCAACAGACCAATGCCGGCAGCGGTAGCGGGGCCGGAGCCGGTGGCAATGGCAGCACAGCCGGTGGTGTCGGTAGTGGCATGCGCGGCACCGCGGTACAATATTCACCCCGCTCCTACTACGAGCCGAGTCGGGAGAAGCGTGGAATTCAGGTAAAGACTTATATGGCCGAGGGCAATGGTTATAATCAACGGTCGGGCAGCACAACGCTTTATAGTAAGGTGGGTAACATTTTGCAAACCAAAACGAAACATTGCAGTAATTGCTATGCAAAACGATTATAATTCTCTCTATAAAAACTATAATCATGTATCTATTATCTCTGTACAAGTATCTATCTGTATCTTTGTTTGTGTATATCTGTAGCACTTGGCCAACTTGGCGCGCGACTGCCATAAGCAGCTCAACTGTTGTCGCCACTTGTTGTCCAAGTTCTATTTTCATTTAATCTCTATAATTGTTTGGTTGAGTTGAGTTCTATTGGTTTCCATATAATTTAGTCTAGTGAGAGTTACTTGGCTTGTATCTAACACTTTACCACGCATTTCCTGACTGCTAACCAACGCTTATTTGTCACTGACTTCTGTTTAACATGCGCATTGGAAACGTTAACTGGCAATTGCTTTTGCTTCATTTCTACATTTCATCGTATTTATAAGTTAATCACGTGCTCACGTTCAACATCTAATGCATACATAACTCCCCCGTGGCTCTTCCTATAACTATATATAAAACATATATATTTAATGCACAGTTTGTTTGCCCGTCGACCCGTAATTATTGATTGGCTTTTAGATTAAAAACAACAAAATGATCTAAGAACTGTCGTTGCCTCTGAAGTTTTAGTTTTATATTTGATGCTTCTTTTGCCGTGACCTGACCCGGGCTCTGCCCGTGCTTGCTAGACACTTGTACCATAGTTGTAGCCGCTTTTTGGTAACAGTTATTGCGCAATAGTTGACTCCTTTAGTCAAACATACAACAAATCACCGCTAACACGCACACGCACACGCACACATACAGAATCAATCACAGTTGAGTAAAATCAGCAAAATCTTTAACACTTTTCGTTTTATCTATTATTTCTCCTTCTTTCCCTCTTGTATTTGCTTAAACTTGGTTTATTTTCTTGAGTAGATTTTTAGAAGATTCTCCATGCAATTCAAAAAAGTGTCCTCGCCTTATGAAAGTGAGAAAATAACGTTTGCAAGTCAGCCGAGAACAAGGCACGAATCGAAACATATTTGATAAATCCGGAACCTATGTTAAGTCTGGCTTAGCTGTTATATCGTAGCTGCCTCTAGCTTCAGTGTTGGGTAATCCATTAAACACAAAGGAGTATGCTCAACGTTTATGCTGCCATAAAAAGATTTTGATCAATATCCTATTAAAATTCAGATTTGAGAATTAAAACTTAAACCTTGAAACTTTATTTAATATATTTGAAGACTTTGCCAATTGATGGGAAGGAATGGCAAACCTTAACAAACGATTAGTTTGGCGGACATTGCACCTAACAAATATGCTCGTTTTAACATTGAAAGTAGAGTATTATTTGTTTATTTATATGATGTATCAAATGTTATGTGATATATTTGAAGACTGCCAATAAATGTGCAGGACTAGCAGACCTTAGCAAACGATTATTTGACGGACATTGCACCTAGCCAATATAGTCGCTATTGAATTGAGAGTAGAGTATTGTTTGTGTACCTATATGGGCTATCAATGTGTACTGTATTGCTGTTGTTTTGGGAACGTATTTAGAGCTTCGGTTACAGCCGAATAAAAATTAATTTGTTGCATTTTCCTTTAGTTTAGTTTAGTTTGCTTAAGGGCTTCGATTAGTCTGTTCTTTTTAGTTTTTGTATTCGGCTTAATTCGTTTAATTTCAAATGTTGCATGCGGTCTTAAGTACTTTAGTTCGCTGTTTACCTAATTTGAAAGCTTTTGCAAAAGTTACTGCTCTGTTGTCTACATTAGTTTGGCTGCATTTGTGCTGTACATTCGCTCGCAGACTGTTGTGCAACTATTTTTCAATTTAGTCTAGAGAATATATCTAAAGATTGGTCAAAAATCAAAAACAAAAAAACTCTACACTTTCTGCAAGCACCGAAAAAGGTAAAATCAAAAAAAAAAATTATTAAAAAATAATAAAAAAAGAATAAAATAAAATATCTAAAATATATACGTTTGTAATTCAATAATTTAATTAATTACTTTTTTAATACATATTGATTGATTGACTTGAAATTTGTCACATGATTTTTTCTGTTGCTTCTTCTCACTAAAGATTGATTATGGAATTGAATTGAGATCTCCGAAATTTGAAATCACTTTCCCAATTTTTAATGCTTTCCAATATATATATATATATCTTAAACTCGATAACATATTTTTGTTTCTCTCTTGCTGTCTTTATTTCATTCTCTTTGTGATCTGAATGCCCAGCGAGTCCGCTGAATTTCGTAGCTTTGACCCATCAATTCCTTTGTGCAGTTCATATCATACCCTATACACATCAAAACTACAAAATTCGAAAACACTGTAAACAAATTACAGTTGCTGTATCTGTGACGTGGATACGGGCATCTTACATACTGTGCGTTATATCTATACAGGAGACAAACTATTAGCCTCGTTCACTTCTGGCCAAGATTGGGTGTTCGACAATCGACAATCGACAATAGACAATCGACACTTGGCATTTGGCATTTGGCATTTGGCATCTGGCATTTGGCATTCGATTCATTTGTCCAACCCACACAAAACACACACAAGTTTCGTTTTCATTTGGTTTCAAGTACAAATCGATCAATCGCAACTATTCTTTTTTATGTAGGCCTAAGGTTATCTGTGTTGAGCACTTTGTGCAACCTGTTTGGGGCAAGTTACTAATCTATCTAAGCGATTTGTGTGCGCTCTACACTTTTCGCAGCTGTCGCCGGGACGCGAGTGCTCCGACACGGATCTGGAGCCGCCGCCCGCCTCACAGAGTCAAGACTGCGAGCCGACGCCGCCGCTGCAGCGGCACAACTCGACCAACTTCTACCTGCCACAGGTGAGCGACACGGCGCCTGGCATCAATATGAGCAACATGAACAATGGCAACATTGCCAGCGGTGCGGGTGGTGCGTCCAGTTCAGCGCAGTCTGGCGGCGGTGGCGACTCCCCGCGTCACCTACGCATGTATCATCCACGGCACAGTCCGCACGCGCGAACCAGGTAAGTAGATGTGAAGTAACCCATCACCTGCTTGCCTCTTACATGTATTCATTTGCTTTTAGGGGCCTTGATCCTCAGCGCGGCTACACGAGCGATCCACTGTCGCCGGACCAGCCTGGTGGTGGCTATGTCGTCAATGGTCAGCAGGGCATATCAGTAGCACAAAGCCAGCGCGGTGGCACTACAACGGCCACGCCTACTATGCAACAACGAATTAAGCCACTGGGCGTGGCCACACCACTTGTCAGCGCCAGTCCAGTGAGAAGGTGAGTGGTGCCCGAGTTGTCCCATGCTGCAGGGCTGCACTGCAGCAACAGCCACAAATCAATTCTCCAGCTAGCCATATATATGATTATATATATATATTCATGTGTTAAGCGGCTTTTTGCATTGATTGACTGTCAAATTGCTTCAATATGTTGTTGCTGCTGTAATTGTTATTACCACTGCTATTGACGATCAGCTCGCTTGTAACGAAATGCCCGTAGATGCTCCAGCCATACATAGATTGACTATGCGTGTCTTTGTGCGAGACTTGCTGTCGAAATGCGGTCTTCAGTTGTTTATTGTTGACATTGTATTGGCTACTGTTGTGAGTTTGCTTGAAGTATACCTTTATCTAGGCCTGTATCATGTTCGCAGTGCTCACTGTACTCATTACGCGCGACAGTGAGCGAGTTGGCAATAGCTTCAAAGGTCAACGAACCCCAGCTGTGTACATCACTCGAAAAGAGAACTATCTCTTTTCTATCTATGTATCTTTATCTCTGTCTCTCTCTCTCTCTCTCTCTCTGTATCTATCTATCTTGCTCTTTTTCGTTCTGTCACTTACATGCTTTAGTCGTAAATCCGAACACATTTCTCCTTTGTCCTTTGCGCTCTATTCCTATATTCCATCAACATATCGTGTATATATTTGGCACAAAGCTTTTTCCCTATGATTTGTTTTACACACTTTTCGACTAATTATTTTAAAATTTTTCTTTTTTCCGTTTTCTTTGTTTATTTTATTTTTCTCGATGTAGTCAATACTCAAATTCTGAGAACAGTACTAATTCCTAGGCTTAGCTTACCAAAACAGAAAGCAAAACAGAAAAAAAACCACTAAGAAAACCAAAAACCAACATCAAGAAAACTAGCATTAATGTGAATAATGAGACGATATCAAATTATGATTACGATTACGATTACGATAACGATTAATTATATATCTATATGTAATTGTATAGATTGTTAAGATCCTACATTCAGTAGAATGTTTAATATAATACAAATTACACTGTGTCAAGCAGAAAGAGGCGCACTGCAGAATTGAGCCTGAACCCGAGCCATATCCTGAACCGCACTGAACCAAACAAAAACCAGAAACAGACCCCAGTCAAGTTCTCTTTGAAACTCTTGTGTCCAAGCGTTTCCCACGTAACTGTCTACGGATAGACGTCAGACGACGACACACAACAGGCGACAGTTGTCTTTTTAACATATCCGTCCACACACACACCCAAGCACACACCAACACACACACACACACACTCTGACACACTCCTAGAAAAAGTACCACAACAACTAGCGTCAACACCAAGCGCACCCACTCTATGTACTACTACTACCTTAGCTTTCATTTGATTGAAGGTGAGTGAATTCTTGATTTTGGTGCCGTTTCACTGTCTTTTTTATTCATGATATACCCTTGCAGAGGGTACTATACATGTCACCAAGTGTGTTCTTTTTATTGATCCGTCTACCTCAAGCATGTCTGTCTGTTGTCCATTAACACAGTAAGAGAAAGTAAAGGGGTTAAGGCACTACACATCTTACTGTCCGTATTTATGAAAAGTGAAGTGAAGATGACATCTATTAAGCAAGCCTATAGCTAGGCAGCTTCCTCTTAAGATAGATTGCTTGCAATTTGACTGTTAACCAATTGGATTGTGAACGAAAAGGCGAACTCTACTGATATATGGCAGACATCAGGCTTATGTGGACAAGAGTGATCTTGGTTGAGTGTAGAGATCTTGCCGTATGTCTGCAAGGGTATTTCAGCTTCGGCAGCCCGAAGATGGTTCTTAACTTGTTTTGTTGTTTGCTGAGACTCACCTCATTCAATTCGATTCGATCAAATCAAACCAAGGCACACACTCAGCAGGCTTTGTCCATTCTCAGTCACACAGCGGCCTTGGAACTGGGTTTAACAACAATTCATTCACAAAAAATAAGACACACAGACACGAATGTCATAGCTCGCAAAATCTGTCAGGCTAGTATCAAATATTTAGCCAACCAAACAAATTCTCGTAACCTTGTTTTGTTGTATTCCTATTAAAAATTTTCAATTCTATTTTTTCGGCAAACACGTTGAATTTCGCCAAATTGCGGTGCAATCGGTTTATCATTTAAGAAAGACACAATTATAGTTATGAATAGGAACAAACAACAGTCACAGCAGAACGCAAACCGCATCAGATCGCTGGGTCTTTTGGACAAAACTATGCCACTCACTGCCGCAACACCGCCACAGCTGCGCAATCGTCGCCAATTTCAGTTCAACGGCATGAATTTTGAGACGAATCCGTTGTCCCTACAGAGGTCGCGTGGTGGCTTGGACGGAGATGCCGGCGATGGCCGGTTCCCAGCGGCAGAAGAATGGCGGGATCCTTCACCTTACCATACTACGTACAAGACACCGATGCCAACGATTAATCGCCCGTATCCACAGCACAGCTGTCAAAGCGATATGTCAATGAACAATGAAGTTAACAGCCCAAGGATGGTCAACCATTCGCAAGTGGTGCATCAGCCGGACGGACGCACAGCTTGGCAGGCTGACAATTACAATGGCAATAGCCAGGCCGGTGGCGAGGATACCTATAGCAATAGCTACAACTGTAACTATAGCATCAACAACGCCAATAATAGCGCCCGCAACAACACTAACAGCAGCAATAACAACAGCAGCAACAACGCTAGCCTCAGTAGTAACAAAATCAGCCCCAGCAGCATCAACGCCGATCGGTTTCAACAAGTGTTGGCTAAGTATAGCAAGCAACCTGTCAGCGATGATTATAGCGTTAACAGCAACATCAATAACAACAACGCAACCACAACCACAACCACAACCAATGGCAGTTATGGCAGTAGCATTAATTCCATCGGCAACATGAATATGAAAAGGAACTACAACAATAGGTCAACAGGCAACTCTATTAGTAACAGTGACAGGAAGAACAACATCCCCGACGAGCTGAATAACGATCAGAGTACAAGGGAACAGCCCGTATTCTCCCCAAGGATGTACAATCGGTCTAATCTGAAATTAAGTGGCTTTCGTTATGGACAGATGAGAGCGGGTGGCGGTTGCAGTTCAGCTGCCATCAATCGCTCCAAGATGGACTACATTACTTTGGCAGGCTTTCTGCTTGGCTATCTTACATCGAATATGTTGTTCTTCCTGTGCTGGTACTTCACCTGGTTAAAGGGCCAGGTGGTGAAGCTGCGCAATCATTTTCTTGGCCAAGCGAATCTCTGGGAGTTCTTCGACTTTGAGGACACCACACGCTACTCAATGCAGACAAAATTGCTTCTGGCTCCAATAATACTTGGTTGCAGTATCCTCTACTGTGTCGTCAATGTACTCCATTTGCTGATCAAGCTGGTGCGGGCCGACGTTCCACGTACCGTAGTCGATTTCGTGCAGCGCATCGTCCGAAACCATTGGCCCTAGCTATTGCTCAACGTGATGAAGTGCGATCCGTGAGCCTCAATTGCAACTTCCAAAATAATCAGTGGTCACCTATACGCATACGCACCCATTCAATCTTGGCTAGCTAACTGATATAACACATGTATATACACAAGAAACGCAGTGGGACAATATGGTGTCGAATTGTACTTAATAAATACAAAAAAATGGTTCAATTCTAAATGGGTCTACGCATCACAATTAACTGATAACCGATCACTGATCACTGATTACTGATTACTGATTACTGCCTATCGATAGGCCTTTCTGTTTGTGGCCTCACAGCGGTCTCTTCAGTCTAACCTCTTGTGCTCGTTCGCGCTCTCTGCGACTCGTTACTAACCTTCAATGTTTGAATACTCTAACGACATTGTGGTCCAAGTTCGTAGTCTAACAACAGCGCCCTCACATACACACAGATACACATGCATACACCCACCACAACCCATGACTACTATCACACAGAAAGACAAACAACAAACCCACCCACGCAGACTTGCATTCTGTTAATCTGCTGTCAAGTCCTAACATTAACATGGCGCGCTGTTAATGATCGCAGCCTCAGTGTTATTCGTTAACATAACTCGCTCTCTAACTTGCTAAGCATGTGTTTGCACTCGTCTCTCACACACACTCTCGACTGGTCCTCCTTCGCAGATCCAATCCGGGCACACCCACGCAGCCACGACGACCCGACTTCATCGGGCTGAACGCACAGGTGGCTCAACAGCAACAACAGCAGCAGCAACAGCAACAGCAGGCGGCCGCAGCGGCAGCTGCCTACTATGAATACACCAGCGGTCTACCGCCGCAGCATCCGCAGGCGCCAACGATTCAACATCAGCAACAACTGCTGCTCCAACAGCAGCGCGTTATGCTGCAGCACCAGCAACAGCAGCAGCAGCAGCAACAAGGTGCGTATTTCATCATTTGGTATTCCTATAAGGTTCTAGCTAATGCGTTCTTTATATATCTAGTGCTGCAGCAACAGCAGTCGCTGGCGCAGGCTGCCTATGGCGGCAGTCCGCAGCGACGATTTCTGTCTGAGGGCGAGCTGGTGCGACAGGGTGCCGGAGAGCTGTCCTATGCGCGTTCCAACAACACTGTGGACAACATACGCGAGCTGGCTGGTAGTCCGCAGCGCGGCGTCTACATGTGGAAGGACACTTCGCCTGGCTTTGGCGGTGGCGGCGTAGGCGGCGGACCGGCTACCGTCAGCATTGGCAGCAGTGCGGGCACACTGCCAAGCAGCAGTAATACGGGCGGCATGATGCAGCATGCGCAGTACATAACAGCCGGCGGGGGCGCTCATCCACTCATTATGACTCACTCACGCCTGCAAGACTACGCCAGTCAACAGCAGCAACAACAGCAGCAGCAGGCAGCTTTAGCAAACGCTGCAGCAGCAGCTGCTGCCTCATATCATCGCTCCAATCCAACAAGCCCCACAACCTTGCCACAGACCTCCGGTGCACAAACGTACATTCTGCGCTACGGCGGCGGCGGCGGCGGCGGTAGTGGCACCGGATCAGGAGCACAATCTGGCAGCAGCGGCAGCATTGCCAATATGCCAACCAGCAATTCCGGCACTGGGTCGGGCGGCTATCAACCCCAGCTGCGCGGCGGTGTTCCAGTCTTTCCGCCTAACCCACTGGCCGGCGTCAATGTGAGCAGTGCGGCTGGGGCGCTGCAGCCTCAGCCCTCGCCTCAGATCAAGCGCAAGCAGACGCCCACGAGGCCAATGAGTTTTGTGCGGGCTCTGGAAATGACCGATTCTATGGAGATGCAAACACTTGAGCAGCAGCAAGCGGCAGCGGCGGCTGCTACAATTGCGCGCAACAATGGAGGTCTGCCCAGCGGCATGCCTGCGAGCTTGGCCCAACAGAATGCAGCAGCAGCCGCCGCTGCAGCTGCTGTTGGACGCAATGCAGCGGCAGCAGCAGCAGCGGCTGCGTCAAATGCTACTGGCACACCCGATCGTGCCAGCATCTATGATATGAACTATGAGATCTCCGTATAACCCGTGGTTGTGCCCGTCGTCGTAATGCCACCCGCCTCAACAGCCAGCAGTGCAGTTGTCACGGCAACGGCCACGGCCGCCATCTACGCGCAGCAGCAGCTGCAACAACAACAACAACAACAACAACAACAACAACAGCAGCAGCCGCCACAACATCAACAACAGTTGCAGCACACCATGCTTAGCCACGGGACTGAGCCGGCTGCCTACGCTTCGGTGCCCGTACCCATGCCCGTGTCCGTGCTGGTTGCCAAGCCCTGCAACGGGGTTAACCAGAGTCCCCTCAATATCAGCAAGACGCCCAACAAGCGCAAGTTCTCCACGTTCTTCTGAAGCTACAGTCATATATATATTTATATATATATATATACATATATGTATATAGATAGATAGATAGATGTATATGTATGTGTAATGGATATCGGAAAGCCGTTCGGTTCTGCTTGGTTTATTTTTTAATTTTAACGTATTGTTAAAATTTTATTTTGATTGATTTATTTTTTTTAATAATTTATTTAAATTTTTTAAATAATTTACATAAGAATTTTATATTTGGTAACACATTTGGATGTCGATAGAACTGTAAATAGAGGAAACTATTTGTAATAATCAGTTTTTAATTAACGCATAAGACAGAAATTTTTTGTTCATTTTCACATCTGTCAAGACCATACAAAAAACAATGGTAAAATCCAAATTAGTTAAGTTACGACTCTCGACTCGCTCACAATCGAGCAAATGCGATTTGTTGTTAATCAAATTGTTCGTATATATATATATATATATATATATATATATATATATATATATATATATATATATATATATATTCGTATAGATAAAGATATATATAAATATTTGCATTGCAATCAAATTGAATATATATATATATATAGGCAGTCAGGTCAGATATAAAATGTGGAGCTCGAGTACGAGCTTAAGTAGCAATCTACATATATAATTATGTACTACTACAACTATTGAAACTACACCTAATGAAAAACGCCAAAATGTGTAAACGAGTATCGAAGATATATATATATATATATATATATATATATATATATATATATATATATATATATATATATATATATATGTGAGAGTGCAATTCTGCAGATATATAAATATATGTATATATATATATATAAATATATGTATATATATATATATATATATATATATATATGTATATATATATATATATATATATATATATGTATATAATCTGGTCGCTAGTAAATTAGAAAGCTTAAGCATTTCTCATTTCTAAACAATTACACTGTTTTTTATAAAATCAACTTTCAAATACTTTTTACTAACGAAGCGAAATTACATTTTGAATTTAGCAGCGACCACTGCACAGGTCAGGTATATATATAGATATATATATATATATATATATATATATGCATATATAGAATATGCTTTGCACTATATAAGTATGTTTACATTTTTGCAATATATATGTGTATGTGTGTGCATACTTATGTACATATGTGACTGTGTATGTATTCGGCTAAGCAGCGCTTACAACTCCAACAGCTTTCAATAGTCCAGCAAGTCAAGTGGAATCGAGCGAGAGTTCCTTCGACTTCGACTTGTGTTTTGTCTCTAATGTCGTCCACTTTTAATTGTATGAATTTTGTACATAACTGTGTATATTTATGTGTGAAATAATCTATACTATGTATTATGTTGAGGCCAAATTGTTACAGGCAAGCATTTAATAGTTGTTGTTGTCGTTGTCGTGAATATTGATCAGCTATATACTACACACATACATAGAGAGGAAGAAGGAGAGGGAGAGTGCTGTAACAAATTTTGGCCCATGCTTATGTGTATCTGTATATTTAAAACTTTGTTGTTATTTTTTTAAGTGCAATTAGTGTTTATTTTGTGCTCTGCCGCTTGTTACTAATCAATCAAGATGACTCCAGAACAATCAAACTGCGACCACAATAGGGCTTCTTGTCATCCTTCTTGCTGGTCCTGAACCTCAAACCACGCACCCCGCCTCACGCCCCGACCCCCGTCACCCGTACCACGACCCAGTTTAGAGAAATTGAATTGAATAGAAATCGATCGAAGCGATTTGCTTTTCGTTTGCCAGAAAGCTAACAAATGGAAATGCAAATGCAACAAATGAATAGAATTAATGTTTGTAATAAAGCTAGCTATATTTAATTGAGTGTTCATACACGCAAGGGCCCACACAACTTATTATTGAAAGTCAGCGAGAGGAGTGAGTGACTGGCATGGAGGAGACCCATTTGCACTCAGACTTAACTCAATATAATCGTAGGCGTGTGCAACACAGGAACAAGGCGTAACAAGAATTAATAGTCGAAGGCGAAGTATTCTAAGTGTTTTTTGCTAACAAATTAAAATAACAAATTGAAGAAATTATAGATATACCTACACAAATCAAGTACATATGAATATATGTCTGCATGTATATTTAAAAATATGAACTTGTAACTGAAACTGAGAAAAGGAAACAAAACAAACAGAAACAAAAACAAAAACAAAAATGTAACATTGTTTTAGATTTTTATACCAAATTTAATTAATGTCAAATCATGTTGTTTAAACAATTTACACATATATTTATATAACAAAACATATATATGTACATATATATATACACTATTTTTTTTATGCCGCATTCAGTTAGGCAGACAGAGCAACTCAAAGAGTATCTGCCCCGTATGAAATGAAATGAGAGTTAGCAGACGAGATTGCATAGTTGCAAACATCACACATGCGTTTTTTATTGTTTTTTAATTTAAACAAAAGTTGTTTTTTTTTTTGTATACTGTGTGTACTTTGTAAAATATACAATAACAAATTTAATAGCAACATTAACAGCAAGGCAATTAATATATAATAAAAATAATGAAAAATAAACAAAGTCTATGTGAGTTTTACTAAAAGCCCAAGGAAAATAAATGATCTAGTTCCATAATAAACTATAATGTGAATCACTTCATAACATTCTTTTAATTAAAATAAAAAATGTTAATATGACCGGAAATAGTCGGATATATATATAGAATGTGCATGGATAATTGTGCAGTATATCTACCGCATAAGACTAGGCAGCCCGCTGGGATGCTATCGCAGCATAAGGTGTTTCGCTCAAACGTTCGGCGCTCTGCCACGCCTCTTTCTGCCATTCCTTGAATACCTAAAATTCCCATTTTCAACGTGCTTAGGGTATACAAGTAATAGTCCAAAAAGTCGCCATGTCTTAATATTCTTTCTCTCCCAACTCTTCTTCTTCTGCCACTTATTAGCTGCCTGACTTAATTGCCTGATAGACGAAATGGAAAACACAACAGCCTGGATCAGTCCTGGCTTTGTGTGGCGATTCCCAGTAGGAAGACAGGTTTCTTGTTCTATATTATCTCTATAATTTATCCAAATATCCTACAGTTGCACGACCTGAACATAGTCTGCGGTGAGAGAGAGAGAGAAGCTATATTTTGAATTTAAATTTAAGAGATTTAAATAAAAAATTAAACTAAGAAAATATTTTAGAAATAACTATTTTCTGAAAATTCATATCGTTTTATCTCTTTTTAAATGGGAATTCAGGGTATAATGGTTTTGCTATAATGTATATAAAAGGCAGAAGGAGGCGGGAAAGATCCCAGTGCGTATACGAGCGGAGTCCATCAGGGTGTTCCACGTTCAAGTAAATATTTCTGTGAGCCATACGCTGTATGAACTTATGGTTTTTTTTCATATAGTTCTTTTGGATCTTGTGGACTTCTGTGATAGAGGCTTGTGCTTTAGCAAATACTCACAACTGGATGCAGCTCAGTGCAGTCTTAGCTATGTCACATACACCTACTCTGGGTGTCCACTAGTTGGCCACGTCCCAAACGCTTCGACAAGGCGCCTGCATAGTTTTCCAGTGCAGAATATCTCCAAGGTATTTCACTATTCCTGATATTCCAGACATATATTATTCATAGGTATTAAAACACCTCCATTGGCGTCCTGGATTGGCATTCGTATTTTTGGAGATATTGATCTGTTGGAAAATAGAGAATGTTCTCGTCAGGCTAATCCGTAAACTTAATAAAAACATTCTCAAACAGTTCAAGATTTATTACCAAAAGTTTGTTTTCATTTAAAACCTGATTAGATCAGAAAAGTAGAAAAATATGAATTGCACTCATGTCTGCATAAGACGAGCGAGAGAGAGAGAATAGCTCGGCGAATCTTTTCTACTCAGTAGGCATTATATACTTTTCATCAGCTTCGATGATAAGGACGAGATTCAGTCTTTTTAGTTTATGCATTAGGAGCAGTTTAACTTGTTTGAGAAAGGAGGAAAACTTGAAGAAAAGACAAAAACGAACCATGTATCCGGCAACACGCACTGACTCTACTCTGCCAACTAATTCGATTGTGGACACCACGGCGACCTTACACAAACTCAACATATTGACGTATACCGCATCCACACAGACAAGAGTCACACCCATGCAGGGTTCGCCCCTGTGTAGGTCGGAGCACGCCCCGACACCCTTGGTGGGCCTGACTTCGATATTTACCGACCTCAACCGATTGGCAACAGCCAAATCGACCAGAAAAACCAGCACATGAACCTAGCTTAAAAGCGTACTCAACATCTCTAACAAACCACACTAGGTAAGCTGCGTTTGGCAGTTGCTTTCAATAATCGACTTTATCATGGGCACCACAGAGGCCATCCAATCATGGACACTGCAGACAGGGGAGTCTTACACCTAACAATTCACCTGCCAGGACAAATATGAGCGCAAGACGAACTAGATTCTATTCCGGACGAACCGCTCCGAAGACCTACCCGATGGAATTACGGTAAATCATCGGCTTTCATCACATCAAGCTATTAATGGTTGTCAGCGCACACGCAGAATCGGAAGGCAATAGTCATTCACATGAGCTCTCCATCAGATAAGTGTGCGATTCCTAAAACAAATTTTGATTTTGATAATTTTATATGTGTGAAATTCAAAATAAAAGCTATGTAAATTCATGTCGCTCTAATCCCATGTTCTTTCTTTATTTTATATGAATATAATATACCATATTATTGATAAATATAAATTTGTATGTTAAGTCTCCATCGTCATCGCTTTGCCATCCCTGGAGGATATGCAATACAATTTTATAAAATCCTTATCGTTAGTTTCGTATGATGATCAACGTTCCATATGATCAAAAGTTAATGCAAAATTTCAACTTCTTTTGCATTCCTTGTTTTTTCCTTTTGTTTTCCTATTAATCACGGTAGATCTAAACATTTTAAAGAAATTGTTTTCTCTGAGTTTCCAATCTTTTATCAAATTATAAATCTAGTGTTAGTTGACTAGATTTCTAGTAACATTGTAGCATTTCTAGTTAAAAAACTGTAGAAGATATTCTTTTTTTTCAACATACATACATACACATATGTATCCATATTGGGAAAAGCTCTCTCATCAAGACAGCTAACCCTTTACGTTCCCGTTAATGCTGAATATCTTCTATAACATTCGAGCTTTAGACTAAACAATTTTTTCTATTGAACTGTGTTTTATTCTTCCTAAAATAAAATTAAATTGAGCCTTGTATCATTTCAGTATTTTTTAAAAATTAAAAAAAAAGCCTCACAGGAAAGGTATCTATTGCGAATATATCGCTCCATGTGGCTACCAGAGTTACCAAATTTTTTGCATAGGCCACAAAATTGATCTTTACAGAAAAATTATTATGGGAAGATAGTTTTATCTTTGGAGGTAACATCAAATACTGAAGCTGTGAACTGGACCAAAACTCACTCTAAAAGCTGGCAGACATAGTAAAAGAAGCGAACTATATGAAAAAGGTAAATAATAAACATAAACAAAGATTTATTTCAAAAAAAAATTTATTGAGTTTTATTTTAATACATACAAATTTATTTTTTTTGTTTATCCACTGAAAAATGTCAATGCGTGTGTGTATGTGTGGGGGTGTGTGGGGGGAGGGGGTGTATAAATTGTTTTCGCTCAGTGTCAATACGATGACGTCGAATATGTTATGTTATAGCGTATGCGTTTAGATATAGATATAGATATAGATAAATATGTCTGTATGTAAGTGTTACTATTTAAATGTAAATATGTTTGAGCACGAGCTCATCAGCGTTCCAATGCACACTGTTACAAAAAATACATAATTTTATTATGCCTTCTATTTAACGTATGAAAACTTGGTTAATTATTTTATAAATAATTTGCTATGCGTGTAAGTATGTATGTATAGTATATAAATATATATATACATATATATATATATATATATATTTATGTATATGAATTGTACTGCATGTAGCATATGCAGTTGCACATAAGTATGTATAAATGTATGTGTGTATTTTGAGTAAACATTTCTCGCTTGTATGTGTATATATGTTGTATCTAAGTCGTATATGTATATGCATAGAGATGTGCCTCGTCTATATTGGTTATGTACTCTTCCCCAGTGCGTAGCAAATAAAACATAAGAGTCGCTTCTGCTCGATCGAGAACATGTACTGAAACATACACAGACAACATCCAAGTATTTATTTTATTTATTATTAATGGTACATAAGGAAAATTGTTCAGCTGCTGGTGGGCACTCAGCGAGCACAGAAATCGAGTGGAAATCCAAAAACAAAATGGATGCAGGTGACTCTAGCTAGAAGTGATTCTCTGGCTAGCTGTCCTCGTTCATAAGTGGCTTTCGATTAAACTAATACTTATTGTACACATACAACATCGTTTTGTTGCTTGGCTTTGCCGATACTTTCTCCTGTTCACATACTTCTTTCACCCGCTCTGTTTAATCATATCTTGTGTCGTGTGCATCTTAGGCGCTACAGCAAAAAAAATGCATATTTGGATATTAATTTTATATAATTATTGATATTAAAAAAAAAACCATTTACTTATATCTAACGTTTATATACTTAACAAAAAAAAAAAAAAATTAAGAGCGACGCGAAGAATTGCAATCTTTGCTGGGTTTGTTCAAAGATTTGCTATATATATATAGCATATATATATATGTATATTCATATATATATTCGATATTTGAAAATGAATAAACAAATATATGCTTCAAGCTACCCATGGCATATACCCAGCCATATGGAGATATATGCAGCCCCAAGCTCGTGTCTAAGCCTAGCCTATACACTATAAAGTACACATGAGATGATTATTTATATACATTTGGCAAACGATGCTTTGTTGTAATTTGTGGGCTCAGATCAGTTGGAGAGTCGCCGATTAGAACTCCTTCAGGCTGCCGCCGCGCTTCAGCTTGGTGAGTCGCTTTAGGCTGGCGCTGAGCATGCCGCTGGAGCCAGTTGCCGCCAGACGCTCACCATCCGATCGCCAGTTGCCGTTGCCCAGACCTAGGGTGCTGCGATCGCGATCGCGATGCGTAAACGTGCCACGGAAACGCACACGGCTGCGCCGCTGCTCGGCCACGCGCCGCCACAGGTCCGTCAATGGCGGATGGTGCTGGTGCGGGTGCTGCTGCAGAGTACAGCAACACATCAACTCCTGAGATTATAACTTCTTCTCCCACACCACGATATGCGCATCGTTGGAGTTGGCCGTTAGCGGTGAGAAGCTGCCGGAGCTGCCGCCGCTCGTGCCAGAGGCAGCGCCACCAGCCGCGCCACAAATACCGGAGCCGCCCTTTTGGCCGGGCGAGTTGCCGCTGCTGTTGTACCACACATGTCGCCAATAGCCACGGCCGCCCATCAGGGTGATTACTGTACGTGGTCCGTCTGCGTTTTGCTGCTGCTGCTGCTTCGAGTTCTGCTTCTGCTTGCGCTTCAATGTGGCAACTGCTGCAGGCGCCGCTTGCTTGTCAGAGGCAGCCGCCTGCATGTGCTTGAAGCCGTCTTCGGACTTGGGCGCGCTATTCGACTGATGCTGGTGGTGTATGTCGGCGGTGGTCATCAGGCCGTTCTCCGATATGTTGCCCAGATCGCTGCCAGTGCCGGAGGTCTTGTGGCTGGCGCTGCTGCTGTTGCGCGATACAGAGCGTCCGCCAAAGAGGCGTATGCCCATGCTCTCCTCACTGCCCGACGACGTATACAAGCTGGACGACTTCGAGTCCACCGACCAATTGGAAAGGTCAAGCGAGCGCGGTCGCGAAGCCTTCATGCGCAGACGCCTGTCCAGGGTACATACCTTGCCGGGTATGGCAGCCAGCTCAGGATCAGAGCGTCGCATGCCCTCGTACATCATGTCCATAAGGTTGCCCTGCGTGCCCTCTTCGGCGTCGTAATTCTCCTTCACGAATATCAGCTTGCCATAGAGCCCATACACATCGCAGTAGCCGTGCTCGCCATGCTGCGACAGCGCCGTGGCATTCGAATGCAGTCCAGATGCACCGTTGGCAGCAGCAGCTGCTGCTGCTGCAGAGCCAAGGCCACGCGGCAGTGTCTTGGACATGCGAGAAGTTGAATCAGTGCTGCCGCTGCCGCTGCCAGTACCCAAGTCCCGAAACCGTTTGCGATGGAATGCGGGCGAGTTGGCGAGCGAGGCGCGTATCTTGGCGGTGAAACTTTGGTCCAGCGAGTGCTGTTTGTCCAGCTTAGAGCAGCGCGGCGAAGAGGCAGCCGACAGGTTGGTCGCTGCCACACTAGAGTCTGTTGTTGCCTCGACGCTTGGATCGCGCTGAATGGAAGCAGCAGGCGTCGTCGGGCCAGAGCCAGAGCCAGAGACAGGGCCAGGTTGAGAGCTGGGAGTAGCTCCAGTCTCCTCTTTGGCCAGATCGCGACGTAAGATGACTGTGCTCTCTTCTAGATCCGTTTCGGCTAGCTTTTTGGGATCCGCATCGATGGCGGGCAGCTGCAGATCCTCGCCCATGCTCGGCACAGTGGGCACCAGCGGAGCTGACACTGTTGCGCCGGCCATTGGCTTGTACGATGGATAAACTTTCGGTATGAGTGGCAGGAGGAACGTGATCGGGCCAAAGTGGGCGTGGCAGGACATATTAATGCCACCACTGATAATGGGGACACCCTCCAGCCGGGGCAATGGTATGGTAACAGCGATGCCCACATTCGTGCCAACCCACAGTAGACCCTTGCAAGCCATCAAAGCTGTCACGTAGATGGAGCTATTGTTCAGCGGCTGCTCCTTTTTGGCATCATAGCGCAGCACGCTGGAGGCAATGTTGATGTCCTGCAAATGCTTGAAGGTCTCTGTGTGGTAGAGACAAAGCATTGTCGAGTTTTTCAGCGATATCCAGAGACCGATGCCGGAGTGCGCCATCAGATTGACCTGCTGACTGGCGCCGTGCTGCACCTCAAAGCTGCGCTGCAGCTCTCCGTTGAGGGCGTTGAGCACGTAGACGCGATTGCTGCATGACGCATATATATTCATGTTGATGGGCAGCATGCTCGGCACGGACATGCCAGAGTCGCCGAGTGACACATGCTGCGGATCGCGCAGCTGCCAGACACCGTCATGGGCACGCCTATAGATCAAGACGGTCGCATTCGACAACGACACATAAACAGCATCGAAGTGGTAGAGAATGCGCTGCACTGCGCCGGGCACCGCATAGCTGCCCAGCTGCTCCTCCTGCTCGGGATTGCGCGCCGAGTAAATGAGCAGCTTGCGACTGTCCGTGCCTAGCCAAACGAGATCGCCCAAGAGGCTGCTATGCTCCTCACGCGTGCGGCACTGATCCAGACCCTTCACAAACTCCAGTGCCGACACCTGCGTCTCCACCAAGTCAAAGGAGCCCGCCTCACGCAAGTTGCCAGCCTGCTGCGGATGCTGGGCCAGCACAGTGATGTGCGATGATGTGCCATCGCTGCTGCACATCCAGAGATAGTTCAACTGCTTGTGCCGGCGTCGCGCATTCCCGCTCTGCTTTGTGTCATTGGCGATGCTGTAATAGCATCCACAGCGCACCTGTTGAAAGCAAAGGAACATTTTGTAGTTTTCAATTGGGCAATGAGAAGTGAGTGCATTGCCTGCTTAAGAAATCTCTTCGATTAGCACTAACTCATTGGATAGAACCAACCAGCTTAAGTGAAATAAATAGTGAGACACACAAGGATAGGAAAACCATTTGTTCTCTGTCTAACGCTACAGGCTGCGTGACAATGAGCAGAGTAGTCCCTACGAAAGGTCTGGCAAGAATTGGGTATCTCGAAAATGTTTGAATACCCTGTCATTGCAGCTGCTGAATTCTGGTGTCACTTACCTCCGTTTGATGCTGTGACCGGTAGACGGGCATCGCCTTGACAAATAGCGGCATCTTGCGCGACTGCTTCTGCTGGACAGCTTCTTGGAGCTGCTGCTGCTCGTAGGTGTGCAGCGTGGCCTGCGGACTGCCGGGTGATTGCGAGGCATGGGCATTGGGATGCTGGTGATGCGAATGCGCATGATGTGGCTGCGAGACTGAGCGCTCCCAGGCGGGCGAGTTGTTCGGATCGAGCGCAAGCTGGGCAAGTCTCAACTCGGTGATCCACTCCTTCTTCACATTGGGCGTTTGAGTTTGAAAAGTGAAAGTCTCCTCCTTGCCGGACTTGTGGCGACCAATAAGCTGCAAGCAGCAGGAGTCCACCCAGGCCATCTCCTCGTCCTTGCGCTGTATGGAGCCCTGTATGGTATTGAGCACGTTGCGTGTTGTGTTCGAGTTAAGCTCCTTGTAGCTGCCCTTGAGAGTGCCGACCAGGTCGTGTATGCGTGATATAACTTCATAGTCGTACATCAGGGTGCTCATCTCGTTGCACAGATTGTCCGCGCCGTTCGTGAGCTGTGCGGCTGGCGAGCTGTGCGCATCCACGGCGGCAAATGGCGAGCCCAAACCAGTTAGCCCAGCCTGGCCATGGCCATGGCCATGTCCGCCGAGCGTTGCATTGGTATAGGCGCCGGCGCTGTTGGCGTTGCCAGTGCTGCCATTAGACTTGAGACTGCCGCCACGATTCAAACCTGCAGAAGAGAAAACTTGTTAGCTGTTCCTCTGGTCCAGTTCGTGAGCTCATGACAACCTACCTGCTGTTAGTATTCTTGATAGGGTCGCGGATGCACTGTTGTCCACAATTTCGACATCGTTGACTGGAAACATCCATTTGAAGGTGAGCTTCTCAGTGGCGCCAAAGTCGTGGGACTGCTTGGGCGCAACGGACACGCAGATGACCTTGTCGTTGAGCAGCAGCAGACGTCGCTGCTTGCACTTGACAATGAAGCCCGCCTGGTTGAACTCCATGTGGGTGACATTGTCCTCGCGCAGCAGATAGCGCGCTCGATTTCCGCAGCTGTCGCTGACACTGTTGAGGGAGCGCGTGTTGAACGTGCCGCTTATATGGCCCAGCATCTCTTTGAAGGCCTGATACTGCTCCGCCACGCGCTTGCTCTCGTTCAGTAGCTCGGCGAGCAGCTCCAGCTGCGACAGCGCCAGTTGCAGGGACATGCGATCGTGGTGACCCTGCGGCGTGTACTTGAGCAGGTCCTGCAGAAAGAGTATGAACTGGGGAAAACGCTGCACGGGCTTCACCATCAGACCGAAGAAGGATAGGCGATCGTGGGCGCTGATTTGTTTGACCTTGAAGAAATCAGCTAACGCCGATTTACGCTTCTCTTCCATTTTGGCCAGCTCCATGGCGGCAGAGAAGTTGTTGATGAAGCCCGAGTATATCTCCAGCAACTGCGGCTTGCCAAACGCGCTCACAAAGCAATCGCCGATCTTCTCATCTCGATCCCAGTTGCGCACGCATTCAGCCAACGAGATGCGGAACAGCTTGTGCGAGTGCAGGATGTCCGGCAAGCAATGGAACAGCGTTGCGATCTTCACGGGATTCAGCACCGGCGGACTGCACTCCTCCAGCGGCTTCTTGTAATCCTGCCAAGCAAAGCCAAAAAAGAGAGATAGTTGCAATATAAGTAAACCATTTTATAGCTGCATTGCTCCCGCTACAGACGTCGATGCTTTACCAAAGTTGAAAGATCTCTCTGTCTCTCTCTCTCTTTCTCTCTCTCTCTCTCTCTCTCTCTGTTTGCCGTTCGAAATGCTGGGTATTTTTTGGTACTTTTTAATGGGTGTTCAACTAATTTTGTAACTACTTTTTTTTTTGTTAAGGTGGTTTGAAATGGTTAAATGATTGATGCTTCGTGTAAATTGTGAAGTGTTGTGAGTATTAAATGAGTTACAGATACAATTTACAAGATGTATGTGTGCGTGTGTGTGTGTGCGTGCGTGTGTGTATTAGAATTGGTGTTAGTTATGACGGAGAGTGGCGGCATATGACGGTGGGAATTGGATGGCATGTAAAGAAGAAAACAAATGAGTTGTCATGAGAGTTAACATTAACATAAGTCGGCGGATATTAAAGCCAAGTCGTTTAAGGCTACAGGCTAAAATAATATGAGAGGCGAAAACAGGAGTGAACTGAATATGTATATGTATTCGGTTAACCGAAAACCCATAGATAGCGATTGATTGATTGATTGAAGCAGACCAACAGATGTGACAGCAAATCTCTTCACGATGTTCTGCATTGGTGTACGACATAAAAATCCGGGCACAAGGCTGTCATGACATTTGACTGACATTAGTATGACCGGCACACCCGAAATACAAGCTCAAATTTAATATTTGTTTATTTATATAAGGAAATTTATAAAGCGTACAAAATATCAGAATATTTAATTAATTATACATGTCCAACTTTATGAGACTTAATCCAATTTTGGCATACAAGATGACAACGACAATAGACAATAAATTGCTGTGTGATGTCCACGATGAGGACGAAATTCTGGAACTGGACGCGGATAAAGTGGCATTGGTGGCCGATACATTCGGTAAGGTGCAAATGTACCTGAAATCCGACACGAAGAGGGGCTACGTCAAGCTTAATGCGCCCGGCCTCTACAGTTTTCAAATGCCGGAACACCCTCATGGTGATCCAGAGAGCATCACACATAATGAGGATGATGATTCAAAGCTAATTGACAGTTGGACAAATGAGAGCATGGAAGAGATCAATTTGATAAAGAAAGATGACGAGGCGCTCCTCGGCAGCATCCAAAGAGATGAAGTGACTGGCGAGATTTACATACTGATGCCTCTTGAAATGGACGTGCTGCTGCAATCTGAGTTCCCGATTGATTCCACCGAACAGCCACGAGCCCTCGCTGCCTCTGACTCCACAATGACCATAACCGACATTGTCGATGAAGAGAATGCGTCGCAGACGACACTGACAGATAATACACTACCAGCCATCCCACTGCAAGGCGAGGAGGCGGGTATGGGTATACTCTGCGAATATGAGGTATGCAGATTAGTGGTGCCGCAGCTGAGCCTGAACTTCAAACTAACGCTTCAAGTTGGCGAGCCAAATGAGGATGAGGTCGATGCAAGCGACATCGACGACGGCGACTACAACAACAACGATGCAGACGATGCTGACGACGCTGACAACGAAATCGACGAAGACAACGACGAAGACGACGACGACGACGACGACGAAGACGACGACGATGACGACGACATCAACAACGACAACAACAATGACAACGGCAACGATGACGATGAAGACTATAAAGAGGATTAACAATTATTTCTTATGGTAGCAGCATTTCTCCCAGGCCAAATGCAACAATCGAGCGCCGAGATTTCATTTTAGCTACAAAGGAACAATAAGAAGACCATAGCCCAAGCAGCTGCGCGTGACTCCAACCCTGTATCGATGCCCCCAATCCTTAACTACACTTGTGCTGGTTGTAATTGATAAATTTAGTGTTCAGAGTACATGAGTTCTTTGCTCGTATTCAACACCGTACGCATGTTTGGAATCTTTTGCTTTAGTACTCACATTGACTAGACGTTGTAAAGTGGCCACGTATGAATTCTCGCTGTGCACAATGGCGGCCACGATGTGGCGGCGCTTGAGCTGCTGCTGTGAGAGGCCAGGCGGCGCCGGTGGCAGCATTGGCACTATAAGCCGGCTGTGGGTGGTGCGTGCGGTGCCGTTGGCCCGACTGCCCGGCGGTATCATTAGATCCATGTCGAAGCGACTGCTCTCCGGCGCTGAGTTCTCATCGTCCTCGTACTGCAAAAGGGTTGATTACATAGCGTATATTTAGCATTTGGAGTGCTGGAGATGGAATATGGGGCTAAGGGACTTACCTCCGGTACGCCTGGCATCATTTTGCTGGCGCCCAAATTGGCCAGCTTCTGCGGCGAGGCGGCGTCCAGCGTCGCGTTCGCTGTCGTTGGCTTTGGCGTGGCAGCGGCAGAAGCATCCGGCATATCGAAACTGGAGCCCGTCAGCTGACGACCATCGCGCCCACCCACGTCGTATTGGTGCGAGGAGCCACGGCGTATGGAGAACCAACGCGAAAGGCGTCCGCCCGGCGATTCACCGGGCGCCGTATTATCCTCACGCTGAGCCGATGCCCCTGAGCTGGTGGGCATCGTGCAGGCGCTGGCCCGTCGCATAATCATGTTGCTGTCGCGGCTGCTGTTCTGGCTGGCGCTCTGACTGCACTGCGGCTGGGCGGTGAGTGTGTTCGGGTTGGCGCTAGAGGAGCTCGACGAGGCAGCCGTGCGCCATTTGTCAAATGACAAATGCTGCTTGGCCTTGTTGAAGGTGGAACGCAATTGCGAATTGCGTTGGTTGCCGGCGCTTAATGAACTCACGCTGCTGCTGGTCTGCTCCTCTTCAGTAAAGTTCTCCTCGTCGGAGTGGCTCGCTGTTGGCGGCTCTCGGCGCTCGCGTCCCGGCGATTTAGTGTCCCGCTCGCTGCTGCTGCTCGCGCTGCTGCCAACACCGACACCAACACCAACGGCAGCCTGGCCACCGTTGGCGCTGAAGCTTCCGCCGGCAATTGTGGCGCTGTCTGCCTGCTGGCTGATCTGGCAGCCCTTTGCCCGCTGCTGCTGCTCCGCAATGCGACGACTAAATGCGCTGTGCAGCTGTGCTGTGGTCACGCTCGCCTTGTGACTTGTGACCCCTTGACCTGGCGATGTGATGAACGACGATGTCTGGAGTTGTGGCTGCGCCTGTAGCTGTGGCTGTGGCTGTGGTTGTATCTGTGTCTGTGTCTGTTGATGCTGTTCTTCCGGCTCCGCCAATGTATCCTCCCATGAGCTGGAGTTTAGTTTGTTTTCATCTGTAATAGACAATGGACAAAAGACACAAAGAGTGTGAGTAAGAGAGTGAATACGGACTTAGCTGATTGATAGCTGGATGACGCCATCCGCTAATGCTTGCAATGATTGGCAATTAAAAGGCGGCACTTTAACGCCAGTTGGATTAAGCCAAGTGGCTGGCTCCAGGCGCGCGCGTTAATACGCAGCAATTGCCAACAACATTTGGCCATGTGCAATGGCATGCGTGGGCTGCCGTCAGGGGCACAGCATCAAAGCCAACGCCGACGCCGCACCACAGACTTGAGCCATTGCCATCGATGTTACACCCAGCTGCTGGATACCCTGTGCCCACAAAAACTATTTCATATAACTGCTATAGGGGCAGATGGTCATTGTTTAGCTTGCGTTTCAGATCTCACAATATTTATTCTAGAATAGTTTTCTAGTTGGGCCAATTGTTTATATACTGGGAATTCAAATGCGGTAAATGAAAATAATTGATTTGTTCTTAAGAAATGAATGCAATATACACACATCGCCTACATGTACAGGGCATTCAATTCAAAGTTCTGGCCAAGCACAAGAACTGTCGTCGCTTCGGTCGTAACTCGTTAGCGCCGGCGGCTGGCTGTGTGGGTTGCTTTGAAGTGGCCATGCCCGCAGGCGGTAGCAACCAGCAACCAGCAACCAGCAACCAGCAACTGGCAACTGGCAACCGGCAACGAGTTGACAGCAACAAGCGGCGCGAAGCACCAACAACACCCACGCACAGCATTAGCAGATTTTTGCATTTGCCTTTCGGGCACTGACTGCGAGAGCATTTATCATGCCTAAAAAAAAAGAACGCAAACAACACTATCCGTGACAGACAATATGGCAAAAACAACAAGAACATTACGAACAATGTACGGGGACATAACAATTGTTGCCGAGATTGGTGCCAATTCACGTGGTCGCAATTAATCATGCCGCAAAGTATGCGATAACTCTTAATGCTGCTGCTGTTTTGGACACAGTCCTTAGCAAAGAGGGGCGTGGCTCTAATGTAACATCCATAACAATGGCGACAAGATAGACACTTGCGCAAGAAAATGGCCGCCGACTGCGTGGGCAGCAAGCAAAAAATGTCGGCAGACAAATATTTGCCATTTTCAAGGCATCTTAAACTGCCAACATGTGTGTGCCTAAGTGTGTGCGTGTGTGCGTGCGTGTGTGTGTGTGTGTGGCGCAAACAGTGGCTGCCACTGGCAGACTTACCCATACCGACTGCCCCATTTCTCGCTTTTATAAAATTGAGTTTGTGTAACTTTTATTTGGAACCCAAGGCGAGCAGCCATCGCGTTCAGCTGTACCCTGCACCCCCAACTGAGTGGAGTATATGCGTGCGTGTATCGCAACTTGCCTGCTTTTCGTTCCGCCTCTTGCTGCTGGGAATTTTATAGTCGAGCCTCGATCTGATATTAGTACTAATGTTGTTATTTTTGGGCTTCATAATGTGCCAAAGTTTGGCGTCTTTCCGAAAGGCATTCAATTGATTGGGGCTAGAGCTTAATTTGATTGCCCCCAGCTCTTTGCATATGTATTAGTGAGTGTGTGCTCGGATACAGGGATACATCCTAAGAATGTATACATACATATTGATTAACATAAGTCAAGCTAAGCTCGCTGCTCGAGCTCGTAATTAATATCGAATAACTCTTTCCATTACACTTATGAATAAGTAGATGAAGATAATGAGAAAATGCTAGAATATCTTAAGGGAAATATGTAAGCCATTGTTCAACAGGTGCTGCCAACGAAAATGATATAACATTGCAACTAGTTTAATAAAACAGCCAACGGCTGGACTTGACATTACGCATACGCCTAGTACGCTGCTTGAACTGAACTGAGCTTGGCTTAACTTGGATTTTGCTCTGGCTCTGGCATTGATTCTGTTCACTTGATGACATGATTTGTGCAGCTCTGTGGGTTTTTGTTGCAGTCACTTGCGTTTGCTGCCCTTGGCTAAGAGGCCAGCTCGGTACATGCATATGCAAAGAGTTTTCTCGACTTGTTTCGTGGCTGCCATGACGCCTCAGCGGCCCACACACGCTCGCTGGAGCTGCCTACGAGTGGTGACCATTGGCTGTAGATTTATATTTCTTTTGATGTATTTTATCTTATTGCCTTCGGTTCGGTTGAGCAATGCGCACACAGATTACGTATACGCAGCGTTGCGAACGCGAAGATTGCACATTAATTATGGTTAAATGCAACTCCTGAGACTCGCGCTGCGCACTACACTGCTCTTCACGCCTTGTACACAGTTCGTCCATTTGCACAAATGCAAAAAACTTACAAATAAATATTAATCATACGCCACGCGAGCCGTGGAGGTGGCAAAAACGCACCATTTGCATAACAAGCCCAGTTAGCCGACAGCCAGTCAGCCAGTTAGTCACTCAGTCAGTCAGACAGTGAGTCAATCAGTCACTCTGTCAATTAGTTATGCAGCTGAACGAACAGTTGAAGAAGTTGTGAGTTCGTCAGCCCAGTTGACAGTATTTTATTCATAACTTCGCCCGAATTGCAATTGGTTGGCGTGATTAATGAGCTTCATTAAACGCGGCTACAGAATGCCCACAGAAGAAACGCGGACAGAAATGCTAATGACTTGCGCATTTACTTAAATTATACAAATTATATTTCATTGTTTGGCAGCTCGGCGCAGCCCACACAGAAAGCCAAAGAGGAAAACGAATGCGAAATTCAAATAATCAAAACACTTAATAGTGTTTGACTAGCAGATACCCTAAGCGCATGGCAAAGTATTCCAATACATGTCTCAAAAAGGGAAGGAAAGTTGCTTTTTATTCTACCATAGGTCTAGAAAAACTAAGAAAGTTGGCTAATTGGAAAAGCCCATGACATTGATGGACTGCACTAAGCAGCGATTGCAGGGTATACAGAAAAACTACGCGACAAGTAAATGTACTTTGGACAAGTTTAAAAGCTGCGGCTAATTGAAATGACAGTGCAAAGTGGCCACAAAGTTGGCATCGAATTGGCTTTTAGCTTGGCTTAAGCAGTCTAAACAAAGTTGTCTACATTTGCTTTATTATTACATTTGTCTTTGTGGCCAATACAAATTCAGGTCATCCTACATAGGGAGAGGCATAGAGAGAAAGCTAGGGTCTGGCAGGAGAGAGGAGTTTTTTTAGATCTGACACAGCCTTGGCCACTGGAATGCCAATGGCAATTGCAATTCTCGGCTTTGTCCCAGGCGAAAGTCACCTGCTGCGCTTTATGCAACATGCGGTCTAATGGGGCCAGCTACACGCCATTTACCAAGTTGCCAGCTATGGCAGCTTGTGGCACGAGTTTCAAAGTAATTTCGTGTATCTGAAATTGAGAAGTACGCAGAAAGCAGCACGCAGCACGGGACACGGGACACGGGACACGGAAAACAGAGCGCACATGCACTTTAACCAGCGCATAAGCTCTCAAGCAACTTAGCCAAGTTTCTAAAGGGGCAACACATACTTATAGTGGGCGTAAGAGCAGCTAGCCTGGTTAGCTGGATCTCATTACGTGCGGTTCCTGCCACACGCTCAGACCGTAACACGTGTGTATAATAAGTGTGGAAATTGCTTTCTATTTGCAATTTTGATGACGTTGCCAAAGCAGCGCGTGCCTCTGCCATAAACTAATTATTATAATGTAAATCACACACGCAAACCCAAGATGAAGATGGCGAACTTGATTTGGGCTTGGGCTTGGGCTTGCGTTTCTGCTTGGGTTCGGGAGCCGGTGCGGGTTTGCGTTGAAGGGGCCGCCCAGGAAGCTGTGCGCTCGCGGCAATAGAAACTTCATAAAATACCAACTGGCTTATCCACTCACATAATTATAAGCACACATGTGCGTGAGTGCGTGTGTGCGTGTGAGCGTGTGTGGGTGCTCCAAGCTGGGGGATATGAAGAATGAAATACAGGCATCACCACATGTATTTGCTGGCAAACTTATCGCGCTTACAGTGTCTGCCCTGTGATACGTATTACTCGAGTGTGCGCTGCGTATTTGCTCAAGAGCTTTAATTACCTGAATTTCATTAATAATTATTATGACAAGTGGTTTTAGTGTCCCCCCTTTTAACATAATATAATACTTAGGTTAATTTATTTGTTAATTTTTATGCAAAAATGTGAGCAGCAGCTGCTCATTAGTTTAAATCGGCTTTAGACTCTGCCATTAACTCAAAGTTTGCCTTTTACTGACTCGAAATTTATGTTTGAAGTGGTTGAACCACTGGCAGCTAAAGCATTTAATGCTGCAATCTGTATCATTCCAGAGATTACTATGATATCCAACTAAATGCTTCAAAGAACAGCTCTGAATTAATTAAAATGTAATGTCTTTATAGTATAACAATTTAATATATTTTGTAATCAAACATTTCAAATGATCGATCTCTACTTCTTATGGCATTTTAACTAGCTTCATTTGCAAAGTTTAAATAGCGCTGCATATCAATTCTTATTGATATTCAACAAGTCTCGACTAGAGCGAGACTGCTCGACTAGAAGATATCCTGAACTCTACGAAGAGCTAATGTTTCAAGCATTCGACGATTCAGAAATCTTCGAGTTGTCTCCAGATCATGCAGTGCCTGAGATCAATGCGTTTAGAGACACGGAACATGGCCTTATCGACTCGCCTCTTATTTCTTTGCTTAACTTTATATATATATATATGGATGTGTGCCACACATGTGTTTCAATGTGAATTTAGTTGGCGGGCCACCATCATCATGATATTCATTATCATGAGCATGTGCAGTGGGAAAGTACAGCTGAAACTGTGTCAGCCAGAACGAATTGAATGAAGATGCAGCCAGCTAATCCACGAGCCTAATAATAAATGGCATCCGAATTAGGTAGTCAGGCGATAAGTCAGGCCGGGCACAGACGAGTCAATTGGAAATTAGCGACCTGCCGAGCTGCCGAGCTGCCACGGCTGTGCGAAATTACTGCCAAGTGAT